ATCCTGTGTTCTAATAAGTCTATATGGTTGAAATATTAGAAGCAGTACCAAATCAACCTGGACAGCATAGTCACTATCATACAGCCTAGAGGACAATCTACCACGCTATTCATTGTGCATTAAATCATGAACAGGACATCATCAGATCAGCTAAGCCTGTTACAGCACCTGTGCCAAGAATTGGCATTCATGCACTTTTATAAGGCCTATAGCTCTACACACCTGTATCACTTCATCTATAAGTACATGGACATGACATTAGAACACCTTATAGGAGCTCCTGTGTACCCTGAGGAGAAGCATATTACTGCCATCACGAGACAGGTAATTCATAGTATATAGTGATATCAAGCAAACATTAATAGTTATAGCTCATGCAAGGATTAGTGTTTCTTCACCATAATCATTACTTCCACGGCAACTTGAAGCTCTCTACTATTCTCGCGAACCAGAATAGAGAGGTCAAGATCAGTATACTACCTATGCTCCACCTATTATACAGATCCTAACTGCGGACAGCTAAAGGAGATGTTTATTGAACTGATCCCAAGAGATCTAAAGCATCTTGTCTTCAAGATATTCAGGCTCTCAGCAAGATCATCATGTTTTTGGTTACTAAAAGCTCAGGGGAAGAGTGTCATCTAGAGGAGACTTGATATTCCTCTAATGTGCTTAACTTTGTGAGTCAGGCTAATATCTTTATAGCAGACAAGTTGAACAAGGTACTAGTCTACTAACCAGAGTCATGAAAATTACTAACCATAGACAGCACAAACTCATTAGTGGTGATTAGTCTTATAACAACCTCGTCTAGCTCTTTAAATTTACTCTGATAATGGCTCAATATAGGCACATCCTGCCTTGGCAGGAACCAAAGGGGAAGTAATATAGGCAGGATGACAGAAACATTGCACAATACCTAGACATTTAATAGCCCTTAGCTACCTAACTATAAGTTCGCTCTATCTAGTCTTAACCTAACATAGATCATCATAATCTTAGATTATACTCCATAATAGTGACAGTACCACTTAGCTAGTAATAAAGCTTAACATGGCTATGCTGACTTCTAGACACAAAGTTATTCTACAAGTAAGCCATCCTATTCTAGAGGGTCATAATCTTGTACTGTTATACTCTTAGCCTTCAGCCACAATCCTGTAAAGTGTGAGTGTATTTGCTATTTAAGCTTAACACCAGCCTCATGTTTACTAGAGTAGTTATTATTGAATTACATAGCGGTACTTCAAAAATAGTTATATATACTAAACAGGTCCGTTATGGATGGATATATTATCACATCTACCTTTAAAATACTACATAGTTATAAGTGCCTCTAAATACCACACACGCTACTAACATTAATCTCTTGGTACAGTATATTACTAACTTTTAAGGGGTTCAAGTCCAAAACATCAATTTTCTGGTTAATAATCAAGTTTAGTAAGCTCCACTCTCTAGTCAATTAGACCATGGATAGTCTTTCTGATTTTGCTGTATATGTCACAATCAGCTGATACTGCAAATACTATTAGATATTGCCTTTGTGTATTATTTCAGACTAACCTATAATGAGCGTCCAAGAAAGATTCTATCACATATTTATACCCACTTTCTTGGCTGAAAATGTTGTGCTAGGGCTGGCTACATAGTCTAAGAGAGCATGCTATTATATAAACACCTGAGAAGATATTAACTCTTTCTAATTAGCATCCCCCTCAAAGAAAGCAATTTAATGGTGGTCTCCTAGCTCTCACTCTAAGGGGTCAATATAGCTGTGATAGTAAAATATGGCCACTATAACGATCTAATAATATTAGAAGCCAAGGGTGGGTGAAATTAGCAGTGTAGAGCTTATATATTAGTCATGAAAACTATTAGTCTGTAGAGCCTGGTTAAGGAGTTCTCTTACAGGGAATCCTTGATCTACTACATAGTCAGTCTAGGTTCTTTCATCCTATTAGAATAGCTAACCCACCTAGATAATCAAGTTACCATATTAAATACACCTTTTACACCTTGGTGCAGCTGTTATGTGAACTTCTAATGAGGTATTCAAGGTAAGGTAATTAAGCCATAATACCCTATTTAGCTACAACAAGAACCACAGTGCCATATTCATTCATAGGGACAGTTCACCCATGAGGCCTACTAAAGAAGGCAATATAGCTGTTCAGGTGGCCGGCATGAGATCACTCTATATGCTCTAGAAGTCTCCGTGACCACCCTCATGCTGGCTTGATCATAAGCTAACACTCCTGGCTAGTTGCTTCACATGTAGCTGCTACAACCATAAAAGGGTGACTTTCAAAAGCTGACCAGATCCTAATGCCTAGTATATAGAGATTAACATACTGTCCAGCCTAGTAATTAACAATAGTAGAACTTCAGAGGTATAACAGGGTAGAGGTGCCTATGCTTTAAATGTGGACTCTAGGAATACCATGGTAGAAAAATCAATTCTAAATCAGTATCTATAGTAACTATAAGGTGGGCATGGCTCTAAATATAACACACACTCCCAGTATATACCCTTTAATCAAGGAATTTATGGCTGAAATGTGATACCATAAAGCTAGCTATATGCCAGCAGCCAGTACCTGATGAGTGTATAAGAAGAGTTTATACAACAGCCTTTACAAGTAGACTACACAGAGTATACTAAGCAGAGTTAGAGTAGAAGTAGCCTGTTTATAAAATTAGTGCCCCTGAGGTTTGTATCTACTCTTATAGAACTAAAACTAACAATAACCCTAAACTTACTCTGAGTGTTAGACCATGCTAATCATGTTAATACTCTCAAGGCTAATATAGTGTGTATAGTAGTCAAAATCACCAGCACAACTCTAAACTTAATATAGAGGGCTTTAAAAGTTCCAAGATACATGTAGAGTAGATCAGCGGTATAAGATATATACACAGCTAGGTAGTAGGGTGCTATCTACACAACTAATATATATCCTATCTATTTTATAAGGCCACTACTATCACCTATATACAAGAATATAGCGCATAATAAGATTACTACCATCACTATCAGTTAAAGAATTACTAAGCAGGTACATCCATCTATCCACTAATTTAGTTTAATAGTATAGGGGATCCAGAGATGCTTGTCTACCACCATTCTCAAGAACTTAAGAAGAGGTGGAATAGCTTCAATAAGACGGCAGCCTATTATCAGCGCAAAAGTACTAATTACAACCAACGCATAGATATTAATAGGACCTATAGTGCTAGACTAGTAAAGTTAATACTATAGCCTGAATGTAATGACTAAGGATCATTTATATACACAGCACAGATCTTAGGACTACAAAGAGAATGCAAGCAGCTTATAAAATCTTGTCCTTTCACCTAGTCCATGTTTCTACTAAAATATATAGGTTATATACACCACAGTATCAACCTGGTAAGCTTGCAATATATTGCTATATCACCAATCCACCACAACACAATAGTGCTTTCAAGTGGTGACTAACTGAACACGGTGAATCCACCACACCTTTATAAGGGTACTATACACTGTCGCGTGGGCTTGTATATAAGTAATACACCAATTTGCGTGGTCTGGACAAGCGAGGCTGTGCTAGACCAATAATACAATAGTTGTATTCTGACTATGGCCGGCTTCAGCGTACGCACGCTAAATGTGAACTACTATAAGACCTGCGTGTCCACACACAGTCTACATTACCCCAACTCAACTCACCTGCTCGCCTACTTACCTCATATCACCTTATGCACAAGGAGAGTAGACGCCACTTTAGCTGCCAAAGATAGGACATTAAACACTTGGAGAATGTAGCCTTCAAGCTAGTCTATTAACCACATTACTAACCTGTGAGGAACTGAAGAGAAATATCCAACGCAGCAACAAGCTACAGAGGGATCAAGGATGGGCTTGAAGGAGATTGAGATTTAGTGCGAGGAATGTTTACAGTTCAGCAAGAGTAGCCCTTTTGGCTTAGCCTCCGTGCGTTAATAAATTATATGTGTGTGCCTGACAGGCCCTCTGGGGCATTTCTCCACGTGAAGGCTACCAAAGATGACTTTCAGTATCGTATTAGTGTACGGCTATTTTTCTGTTGTGGAGGAATGCCGCCACGAAGGTGATGAGATACACCAAAGTACGAGTTTGGTATCCTACTTGACGAACACAGGAGGGCATTTTTAAAGAAGCAGGCTCACCAACAAGATTCGTGCTTGGCACTTGGACGACTCATACCATCCAATCGCAAGCAAGCAAGCATGTGGATGACGCCCAGGTATTATACCATGCGAATAACACTGATCGCTAGAATGTCCAATCACAGGTCTATGACACCGCGCTTCAGGAGATAGAAGGCTCATTTCAGAATGGACACAGAATTTCGGTCTGGGTTGATACAGTTATCACCACAGCGCCACCAGACAATCTCTTGTATTAAGATTCTCAATACAATGCACAATTGATGATTAATACTCTGAGAGAAGTCCGAGGAAGGCACGAGCTAATACATGATTGTGACGAGTGAGCAGGCCAGATTGCCACACAGAAGAGCCTCTCAAATACTCTACATCCCAAGCATCATAAATCACTAATACAGAGCAGACATGTTGGCTATATCGCAGATGAATAACAAGAATGCAAACATGCAAAGCAGGGACCAGCACTTCAGATCCATAATCTGCACGATAACGATAACCCTTGTCCCCGGCCTGCTGTTGTCTTCTAACCTGACGCTACCACAAGGCAGCACAACCATGTAGCTGCAGGCGCCCATCTCGCTGATCACATTGAGCTTCTCAGTTGTTTAGAGCCAAGGAAGATTAGGTCTTCCCAGTAATACACTCGCTGATGCTGTATTTAGGAGCTGTATTCTATTTGGTTCTACCAGGCTGAGATGCTAGGCCGCGGTTTATACGGGCTTTAAAGACCGGCTTCCCTCATTAAACTTCACGACTTTTCCAGTGCTTTTAACCCGTCTATATGTTGTCCATAGAATTTCTAAGTTGCCTCAGGGCAAGTGACTCTCTAGCTCCCAAGTCATGTCGCTAATGGAGAAACCTTTCCACTTCACGTGGTACACCACGGCCGCCCGTCTTTTCTTGGCGCTTGCTTTGATGCCTACAGCGCTAATAAGGTCGTAGTCCCATATATCCTCTTCCCGAGCGTAGTCCTCACCAGGGCTGTTTTCTTCAGCAATAGTGGGCACATACTGTTGAATGACTTTGATGCCCTCGCTTTCAGGACAGTATGGGGTAGGCGATAGCTGCTGCATGGGTTGTGCCGCTGCTGCTTCGTGGCCATGTATATATGGCCGAGACTGTATGGGCCCAGCCATGACGAAAGGAATGCAAGAATGTGAAATAAGTTGGCAGCTATAAGGTAGCCAGGGACGGATCTTAAGTAGACGACCACACCAGCGGACGCTAGCAATATTCGATCGATGCGCACGTCGACCGAATCCATAAATAGATACTTGGCAGCTTCGCTGTCGAGAGTATACAGACGGGCTTGAGCCTCGTACAGAGTTGTGCGAGTCCGGTGTCCTATGCAAGCAACACCAAGTATTTTCTACGGCAGGAGGTGTGGGTCCACGCTTAACTAGCGAATCCTCATCTGCCCCACCAGACGTTTCAATGATACATAGAATACTTCGTCATTTGAACATCTCACGTCGCCCTCAAATGAGGCGCAGTCCTCGACAACACGCCACCTGCGCCATAACTTGGCAATGCGCGCCTGCACCATTCCTCAGGTTCAGACCCAAGAGCTGCGAAAAATGATTTTTCTTTTTTTGGCTGGCACATCTCCTTCGCCAATCTCTTTACTCAGAGACTACCAGCACCGATTGCGGTAGTATGCTGTGTTGAGGCATGCCCCACGACTTCCCAATCGATGGCATCACGCTCGACTGAGAACGGTTCTAAAATATTGGAGACCAGCGAAGCATGGGAGGAGGTTGATGGCCGCCTTGAATTCTCTCATATCAAAGTCATAAATCCGTGAAGGGCCTCAGTACTTCTACGCGAGAAGCTATTGCCGTACACCTCTTACTGAAGTCGACGTAACACCCTTTGGACCTGCGCCGAATTCCCGCATCAAAAATCTGGCCTCGATTTCCTCAGCAATTTATGCTATGGCGACTCTGCCGAACGCTCTCGTTGTTTCGTGGAACGATGTAAAAATTAGAGCAAGATGTCCATACTGCCTCGAGACACATGGCCACAGTTTCCCCGTGGGCTCCCATAACCAGAGGCAAAGTGACTGCCACGGAGGAGGAGAATATAGGCTCCTGTTTCCACAAGATAACGATCCTGCAGCCGCTGGGTACGGTTGGGAGGTTGACCGAGCCTTTTCCGTCTTTGCAACGATGAGCATGGGAGGCAGGTTGATCGAGCTAAACGAGAGACCGCCACACCGCTCGATACTTTCGTCCTTTGCTCATCTTCCTCGACCACATTACGCAGACGGATCACGGGATATGCATGATGAAGGCGAAGCTCTTGTGAGTTCCGCCGAACGATTGGATCTGAATGATGAAAAAGCCCATCCTCTGCTTCGCCCAGACCATAAAGACTTACCCGAAGACCCCTTTATGTCTGCCGATTTTCGCCACGATGTCTACGTATCCTCATGTATATTGAAAGATACACGGGAACTGCGCCGACTTTTCGAAAAGTATCCAGAGGCCGATTTCGTTTCGCAATCTGATGACGAAGGCAATAACGGCGTTCTACTTGCTGCCACCGAAGAGAATGGTGCCGCGACTGTACAATGGCTCCACGAGCGAGGTGCAACCATCGACCAGGCCAATCATTACGGCAGGACACCACTTATGGAAGCTGCCCTCTGGAGACGCCTCGAGACTGTGCGGTACCTTACTGCCCAAGGGGTAAATGTGCAAACCCGCGACGCGAATGGTATGTCTGCCCTGGATATATCTCTGAACTCGGCGCGCAATACAGGTGAGCGAATTTCACGAGCCTGCGCGGTCTACAGAGAAGCTACCGATGCGGATCGACAACGTGCCAGAGTCGAAAGCCATTTGAGGCCGTTGTCTAACGCTCGTGATCCTTCGGTGGGAGCACAAGACCATTCTCGGGGCGGTCCATCATTTTTCCATCGCACTGTCGATGGACACCTTGCACTGTATAGACCCAAAACGATTTTGTTGGTCCCAAACGGACAACCTTATAAAGCCTTTGCAGAACTTGATCGGGGACCAAATTATCCACTGATAACATCAATGAGTGGTTACACCTTTCCTACTTGGCCAAACGTCCTTGACAACAATCTCTGGTCCCACAGGGCGGATGATTTGCGCGAGCACCTTGGACTTCCGCGGAATATTGGCGCCGCTTCACATGTCGAGCCCCAGTTGCTCACATATCTGTTGTTTCATCACACTGTCGTCAGGTTCACTGATAACGATGACAATGTGGAGAATACTTTGAAAAAAGAAGGACTTCAGACTCTTATTGACGGTCTCCTACCACTGAACCCTATCCCGATTATCACTGTCAATAAGGGAGATTTCTGCAGCTCATGCCGGAATTTCTTTGACAGATTCGACCATGCATTTCCTAGTCTGAGAGTTCAATTTAGGTTCGTGGGAATCCACAACATTGCATAATACTGTTGTGCATGACTCTATTGAGCACGGGCTGAAAGACACGGTGCTGTAACGGCGCGATGAAGCCAGATGTGCGAGTTGTTGGGCTTGGAGGACCTAAACCCAGTGCAGGGGTCTGAATGAGCGACGACTACATACCCGTTCGTATAGCCACAGGCTGCCAATTACACCAGCTCGAGGCAGCCAGCGCCAGAACGAGCACTTGCGTTGATCACCCATTAGCAACGTTGAAAGCATTTAGGTAAATCTAACATTGGAAAGGTGTGAGGATGAACATACTGTAATGGATGCTCAGATACACCGCCTGTAGCTTCTGGAGGGCCATGAGGAAGAAGCGTATTGTGGTTGATGTCGACACATGCTATCACATTGCTGCCTTCCCACCTGTTCTAGTCCCATCCTCCCCTTCTTCTCCAAGCTGATCAAGCGCACGTAGTTCCCGTTGAAACATCTTCGTCTGCATCTGTTTGGCCGCTTTTGCCCATCGATCAGTGTTCTCTATGGTGCGCTCCTCCACCGTCATCTGCGACTCGACTTGCTCAAGGCGTTGCATATAAGCGTCGATTGCGGCTTTCGACTTAAGTGCTCTTGGGGCACCTGCGGTCAATTCGTCCACTTCTTTGAGTAGAACTTCGAGTCTTTTCATGGCGTCAAGGGAGCTCTGAGAATGTTGTTTTTCCAGCTTGCGCAACCGTTCGAATTCCTCCGAATCGAAGTTACCACTGCAGTAGATATCGAGCTGCTCGCACGGTTTGCATCTCGCACTCGATTCATTATACGTACAATATCGGCCACCATTATGACATTCTGGGCACGCGCCCATGGTGTCTAAGTGTGCGTGAGTGCTGGGCCTTACAAGTCAGAGGGCGGCATCAACAAATATTTTGGCGATGACGACAATCGAACAGACGGTGAAGTTTGAACCACGTGAGGCATCAAACGCAAACTGATGCTGTGACCCCGCAGGGGATATCATGTGACATTGCCCCTTGTTCCCCAACTGCGCAGTGGCTCGCCTACTCTTAACTCCTCAGCAGACTTGTCACGTGATAGTGCTGGCTTGCGGCCGCAGACTAGAAGATTCCATGAATCTGGACACGCTGTTCGCAAGGTCCTTCATGCGTACACGGGATCTTCTGCACTTGATGTTGATGTTCATGTGCTGTGCATGCGGAATACTTCACTGCCCACTGGGTGCCGACCCAGAAGCACCTTCTTCGCTGGAAATGGCTCCGAACCTTGCTCCCAGGCAGCATGCGGAAACCCGTGACATGATCATTCGTGGGGTGCTCAAAGATCGGCAAAAAGCCCTGGTTGCCCAGTGTACCGATCGAACTATCCGCCGGCATCGAGCCAACCTAGCGTGTTTCGGCAGCACTACTGCCCCTCGAACTCGTAGCGGTCGACGCTCCTCGGTGAACACAGCTATGCGAGCTGCCTTGTTTGAATACCTGGTCGAAAAGCCTGATACAGATTTGGATGGAATAAGATTGTTCATATGGGACGTTTTTGACACCCTTCTTTCTCGCTGGTCGATAAGAAGGGCACTTGCCTTCGAGGGCTGGTCCCCGAAAGCCATGCGACTTATCGCTAGGGGCAGGAACCCTGATGTGCGCGATTACTACGAGTATGTTGTTTCCGAGATTCCTTCATATTGTAGGATGTATGTCGATGAGTCGGGGTGTGATAAGGCGATTGGATACCGCCGCGGCTGGGCGCCCCGTGGTGTCACACCCGAGAAGATTGTACAGTACCCGCGTGGAAAGCGATATCAGATCTTACCAGCTTATGACCAAGATGGGATTGTCTATTTTCGGATATATCAAGGATCTACTGACGCTCCACTCTTCTTGGAGTTCATGGAGCAGTTGCTACCTTACTGCAGCCCCTTCCCGGGAAAACGGTCAGTCATAATAATGGACAACGCGTCCATTCATCGAGGCCCCGAGATCGAGGCGGCCTGTGCGCGGGTAGGAGTCAAGCTGATTTACCTGTCTCCGTACTCACCTGACAAGAACCCCATTGAGGAATTCTTTGCGGAGCTCAAGGCGTTCATCCGGAAGCACTGGATGGTGTTTGAGGCAAACCCGGAGTACGAATTCAAAACTTTCCTCGAATGGTGCATAGACGAAGTGGGAGGAAGGCAAGCGAGCGCACGAGGTCACTTTCGCAACGCCGGAGTAACCATAGAGGAGTATGATGGATGTTGAATATGTATAGCATTGGTCATTGCATAGTACAAGTCTGGCCTGATTTTCGAAAACAAAGCCCAGCTGTATGATGTGCTACTGAAGAATCCGCTCTCCTTGTTGGTTATCCGCATGATCTAGCTTGCATCGTTTGTGGAACTGTTTGATGTCGCGATAGAATCGCTTTGCGATACCTATCTCCACTCCTGCCTCACTGGCGAGCCACTGAGGATCCGGATTTTCTTCCTCAAAGAGAAGTTGTAGGTCGATGCATTTGCGAACCAGAAAGTCGGTGGCCTTCTGAAAACCCGCTCTCCAGGATGAGTCTTTGATTGTTGATTGCAGCCAGCTGCCATAGTCCTTGAGACGCTCATCACGAAACCCATGAAAGCTGATTGGGCTCACTTCTGCTTTGGTGACTGGTGCCGCCTGTGCTGCCGTGTGAGCTGGCAGGACATTGGTGATTTGGATTGGCAGCACGCTGGAGGCGGGTGCCGTGCTGTGAGTCTGTTTGCGCCGCTCACTCTGCTCCGCTTCCCTGTAAATCTGTTCTCGGAGATCCTCGGGCATGTCCTCATGCGACTCTATCACGACTCCGGTTCCCTTACGGCGAATGAGGGTCCGAAGGTGATGTGTTTTGAGTTCAAATCGCTTGTTCTTTTGAGAATCGAACCAACACCAAGGTCGCAAGTCACAGGGTGGACCGGGACAGTGGAAAAGACGGTACATACTCTGCCATGCGGCTGGTCGGCCCGTCAACGCTTGTTCGGCGTTCGCCTCATCCGTGAGTTCAGCCCGCTGTTGCTCTGTGGCACTACCTCTTGCTCGTTTGCCATTTGCGTTGACGAAGTTCGATGCAAACTCCGTAGTGATTTCCACATACCGAAAGCAGATATTCACTCGCAGCTTCTTCCCTTTACGAAATAGCTCACTCCATTGCAGCAGTTTACTCTCCACTTTTAGCCAGTCAACATCTGTTTTTGCGTATTGCGCCACAAAATCGTCCTCGGATCTTTGTGTCACCTTTATCTCAATATCTGTCTCATTGGGTCGAACAGACCGAGGGGGGAGAATCTTTCTCTTCAACACCTCTTCAAGTCGAGGCAGGAGGACGCAGGGGCCGTACGAGGTCGGCTGTAGTACGATGTCCTCAATGGTATTTCTGGATACAATCGATTTATTGATCATCAGTCTCCAGTCGATCCGGTAGTGGAGGTACCTAGGCGGCTGCTCATCGTAAGCTGCGTCAGGGTTCCAGTCTCTTATCTGCACAAAGTTTAGGCCCTGAGTCTGAGGCTCAGGAATGCTCAACGAAGCAGACCGACTCCATCTGGGCTGTCCCTGACTGTCCGTGTACAGTGCAGGTGTTGGAGCGTTCGAGATTTGGGAGACTGCACTCTCCGCATAGTAGGGTGTCACATCATAGTCAGGTGCGAACGCATAGTCTTCCCCAGATGAAACCAGTGACCCGTCCGGATCATTCGGGGAAGCGTCCATTGACACTCTGACGCGCAAGGTATGGTCCTGTCGGTCTTGCAGAGTGCGCAGGATCGCTGTCCCTGCAATGTCCACGTGTCCAGTTCGGTCGTCCATGGGGCATGGGGCCGGTGATTCTCCGCGATTCCATGTACTGCACGTGACTTCAATCTCAACTTCTCGGCACCAGATTCGCAGCATCTTTTTATTTCTCACGACGCAAAGTCGTCACGCAAGCTTTGAGACTCGAGTCTCTTGACGCTCGTCTCGGTCCAGAGGTGCAGTGGGGGCTGCGCCGGTACATCGGCCGTAACGAGGCCATTGATCTGTAATGTTGGTTAGGTCTCAAGGATTAAGCGCCAGAGATTCAGGTACTCCTAGTCTGTATATTAGTCATTTTAAGGTCAGGCACTTGAGGGTGCAGTTGCAAATGATGGCACGTCCTTCGCGCTTGGAGGATGCTCGAGCGAAATGCACAGGGTGAGTCGCGAGCTTTTGGTGGCGGCTGCTGGGCATACCGAGCTCAGCAGAGCTCGCAAGACAGCATTAGAGACGTGTGTGGGTGTTGAAGCATAGGTGTTGAGCGCAGAAGCTTCACCTTGGACGCATGCTCGACTTTGGAGGATGCTCGAAGAGATACACAGATTTGTGTGGGATGGCTTGGGCAGGAACCGCAGATTATAGGGGGTCCTACAGGCCGCCTGGGCTGAAAAGTTAGCCGATCTCGGCACGAAGGGCGCCTTGATCAATTTAAATGACAGTTCTGCTTGACGCGCGTTACATTCTGATTACGACACTGCCGGGCGATGATTCGCTGTGAGGTTACTTGTGATCTAACTACAACCGGAAAGATGGATTTTATGCTGGATCCACTCGCCACCTCCCAATAACACTTTTTGTAGCTCGGATAGGACACCGGACTCGCACATCTACTCGTGAACAGATGCGAGATCTCGCTCCTTCGCTCTTGCTCTACCGATGAGATAGAACAGCTGTTAAGGATCGATGTGTAGCATCGGAGAGAGGCTCACCTTGATTGTTCTCTATGAGAGGGACGATGGTATTGAATCCCACAGAGGACCAGCCGGTGGCTCTTTCGCTTCACAACATGTAGAGAGCTGATCTAACCCCACCGTAGCAGCCAACTAGGCGTATCAGGCACGAATCATTTGTCGCGAAGAAATCCCTTGTAGCTGTTGAATGTCGTCGCGCCCCAGCAATGCTATGTATAGGCTGGGGGGATTTCCTAAGTGCGTACTTGGGAAATATCGGGGGTCGGCACCCTGTGTCTTGGCATCCGGCCCAATTCCGGTTGCTACCCCACCGGAGCACTGGAAAATACGGTCGACGAGTCGTCTGCTTGCGCAAATTGCTTCCGATGTAGTCAGAGCGCATGCTAAATCAACCACGCTTGTACCTGGGTCTTATCTTGCTCAAGCGTATCCTCTCAACACATATTTCGGTCGGCGTCGTCATAGGACGTGAAGAAGTGTCGATTTCCTCTACTTTACGGACCCCGTTCCCGGTGCCTGTCACCGTGGCTGGACTCGCCATTTCCTTCCGGCGCCAAAGCAACCACCAGAATACGTGGTTCAACAGCCTGCGGGTCGGCTATTCTAGGAGTCTGCAAACGTTGTTTGGACAGGGATGCGGCCACGATATCTACGAGACATCCTCTTCGTATTTCTCCCCGGCCATTAATGCGCCGGTATTCTAAAAACCTGTTCGATTTGCCAACCGTTGATCACCATGTTTCACGATAATAAGATTGACGAAGTGTTTCTGGAGTTTCGTAGATGGAGCCGCCAATTGGGTGGATCGAGTACACCCATTATCCAGGATATAATCAGGTCCATTAAACGGGCCACTAACAAGATCCGGCGCAGCCATTGGCGAGTAGAGGATGGACCTCAAGACAGAGTGGCGGAAGAGGCCCATGGTGGAAGGTTTGAGGACCGACAATCACGCGGCAACCACTCTTTGCTGGGGCATGAGATGTTGTCAGTAGGGTTGACGGGTAAGAGTGCCCGCAGCAAGATTTTCCGAACTACAATTGACATGGTCTCTGACACAGTACCTGGACACATGCGCGCAGGTCTCGACTCCACTCCTAGGGCTCCTGTTGACAACAATCCCTTGTATCAAATTGGTAAAAGGTATGCGGTTGGTGAAGCAATCGCCACGCATACGACGGACAAAGGAGATAACCGAGTGCCGCAAAATCAAGGTATATCAAGTGTGGGTGGTTGAGAATGGGGATCAGATCAAGAGGCGGGAGGGGGAATGAATGTAGATTACAAAGCAGGACCTGCCGGCGCAGAAACCCTTGAGAGTGACGGTCCCAGTCGGTTTGGTCGGAAAGGTGACGCTACATGCACTGGATTATGTTGGCACAGTGCTGACCTAGAACACAATCGCGTATAACAGAATCTTCCGAGCGGCAGTGGTTGAGATGAAGAACAGGCACGGGACTGGACGCAACCCCGGACACAAGACCAGGCGCAGGAGCAGAAATTGCGGAGGTCATCGCGAAAACGGAAGCCGCCTACGGAAGACAATAGTAACGGCTCAGAGAGCGACCCTGAGGTTCGTCCAGCCCGGTAAGCAGCACTTTAAGCCAGGAAGTCATTTTCGGGACAGTCAGCTCCCCTTACCCGGGATAAACAAAGGAAGCATACTAAAGATAAGCCCAAAGGGGTGGATAACCTCCCTCAGTTTGAATCACAACTAGGGAATAAAGCCACATTGATCGTATTGTGTGAAGCGAAAATGAACTGGCCGCTGATTTCCCAGACTGATCTGCCGATAGATAACAGACCCGCGGATGGCGCCTTTGACGGTCTCTCTTTCATGATCTCTCTTGGAAGACGGTTGAGTATGAGCCCAGCCGAAGCCTGGGCAAGTAGGATATTTCACCGAATCTGATGTGCACATTTCCATCAACTATACATGGCTGCTATCGAGGATGCGCGGACAGTCGACGAGTCTTCCTTTTTCAGGTTGAGCGATGAGCTCCTTCGCCGTCATGGAGATACCCCCATTCGACGATATGGCAAAGGATTTGGTGTATCGTCCGCAGTTAAGGACCGGCTGGTCAGAAGCTTCGCCAGAGTAGTCGAGGATGACCAGCAGGATCTCCGTGGGGACATCTCCAAGGCCCAGCCATGAACGCGAAGAGGCTGGACCAAGCGACAGGCTACTGTCACGGAAGCAACAGTGTGATGGCATGGTTGTGGCGAACACAGGTCGGGCCGGGGCACCTGTTTTGCAACTTGCACACCGGTGAGGTTAAGCCACACAGGAGGGAGGAGAAGGTTGGGACGCACAGGGTGGAGGCAGGGCCTTTATATGGTTCGAAGTAGAGCTAGGGTGGGAGGAACTAACGAGACCGGGGAAGGCGCAGGCGCTCTGGGTCAAAGCGAATCCACTTGCATGCAACCACACAACACAAACCGCACAGCCACACAACCAGTCCGCGCGGCTTTTACAGGATCCCTTCATGGGCTGCGGTGAAGGATTCGACAGTTGTTGACAAGTGTGACATGATCGCTGTGGGAGTGCTCAAGTGTTGCCAAATGGGCAGAGGTGTGTGGGCGTGATGTGAGGCGTTCTTTATCCCTACACCTACTCTACTCTACGTGACTGAGGCCTAATCCAGCTAGAATGGATCAAAAGCATCGCCTTATTCTTAAGTGTTTGCTGGAAATAGTTGTAGGTGTTGTCGTTGCAACTATGCTACCAGAGATTTATAGATTGATCATACATGCCTGGTTCCTTTAAGTCTTCCTTGCGTTAAGTCAAGGGGGTCACACGTATTCCCTCTTGGCATTCCTCTGCGGCCCAGGTTTCATACATACTTTCTTCTCAGGGCTACCACCCACATCCTTCCTGCCTCCTGCATGTTTTAGTGACAGACTGGCACTACTAGAAACCGGTGTGGAGGCAGTAGTAGCGGTTTTTAGAAGCTTGGGCGCACTTAGCTTCCCCAGCCAATATTGGTAGCTATCCGCTGTTGTGCCTCCGCTATAGTCTTAACTTTTCTTGGCCATCTGGCAATATTGTTCTGTCGTCGTTGCATCATGAAAGCTTCGATCCTGATGTATCTTCACGATACGCGGGAATTGGAGGCTCTTGAAGCGAGAGTTTAGCAGTCGATTAAACCCTGCACCAGCCACTTCCACTACGAGAGGACGCATAAAGACCGCTGCTGGACGTGGTTGGTCTGTAAGCTCCGTCTCGATCTCGGAAGAGACAGCCTCATCAACGGGCCCAATGTAGTGTGCCTTTCCATATCGGTTGAGGAAGCGGATGTCGTCAGTGGAGACAGCAGGTTGAGACACTGTCGCGACGATCCGAAAGGTGGGAGAGGGCTGTTGAGTGTTGTCCACCACAGCCGGGCTCATAACCTGTTGGGGGACAGGTTGAGTGGAAGGGAGCGTGTCTCCATGCGATGAGGTCTATTCCTAGCTATTCATCGACAAAATGAGGTGCTCCGCTCTCTCACTTGTTCGGTAGAAGCTGACTATATGCATTTGGCTTATGGCTAGGCAGAACAGGTTGCCTTAGGCATCAATGAAGGGGAAACAGGCAACCACCTACCTGTGAGTCATATTCTGAGCAAAGGGCCATGGATGCACTTTCCAACAACCAGATCACCCACCTCACCCTAATCCCGCAAGTTCTTCACCCACCCAACCCGGGCCCTTTGGGTGAGGTGGGTGGGTGATTGCGAACACTGTCGGATAGACGTCAACAAGGCGAGCCAATTCTAGCAGCCTCTATTCCCCTTCTGAATAGTTGAATAGAGAAATGTTGCCCGTAATTTTGCTCCGAGTTTTAGGTGGTATTTCTTTCGCGCATACAGAAATTTATAATCTGGCTCTTATGGCGTTATCGGCTAACAATGGGTTTGAAATCTAACGGCTCGGCCCTTTCCTCCCGCTGCAACGAGGTCTGGTTGTGTCACATCTAACACATGAATCCTCTCGGCTTCCATTTTAGGCATGATACCTGCCTTCTGAGGGTCCATTCTCTCATGATTATGACTCTCCGTTGAGTCGAGCTCCCGACATCTTCTTCCACCTCAACTAGAAGAATCAAGAAACGAACATCGGTCAAGCTTTGAATTGATGTCCATTCGTGTCTGGGTATGGTATCAGCCGCTGATATCGAGGCAGCCTTTCAGCTTACTGTATCGTCTATCTTCTCTTCTGGACTGCGACCCCCCTGTCTATTTGACGCATACACTCTGCTTTGCTGATGGCATGATGTTCTCCTGGCTATGGAGTTCGCGTTCCCTGATGAAGAGCTTTGTGTTGTCTGATTCTGGTGTGCCACTGCTTAATACAGGCCAACTAAGGCAATGCAGACGGCTGGCCCGGCTAGTTCCTCGATAGGCAAAGGTACGTCACTGGGCCAAGTTGCGGGGTTGAAAAGCCCCTCATTATCGACTTTATATGCAACAACCCTCCATGCTCATGGTCCTTTCGACGATGGCTCGTTCCAAAGCGACCACAGCCTTTTGTTGACAGGCAATACACTGCCTCTAGACTGTTTCAATTTAACATCTTGCAGCGGAACCAATTTTGGGGCCCATGGTAGCACTGATTCCGGCGCAAATTATCAGTTTCGAAATCCCAACGTTGCGCTGTCCATGCTCCAGTTCGCTTTGGTGGCGAATCTGCTACGTGCTCTTAAATTCGCGACGAAGAAACAAAGTACTCATACTCCTGCCACACAAAGAACGCACAGTCCGCCCAAAAACGAAGTTCCTCCAGCAATGCCCATCCCTGTGTATAAGGTCCTACCTAGTATCACCGCTGCAGCAGCAACCGTAGCCCGTGCCTCCAGATTGGGGAAAACTGACTTCCCTGCCCATTGGACCGTACTATGCACCCGGAGGATTGCCCTGTGAGAGACTTATAGATGAGTAGAAGTTCCTGTTGGATGCATAGCGATTCCACGTACTTGTGTGCACCATTGTGCCTTTCAAATTTTTGTATTCGAAGCCCTATGAGCCAATGCCATCGTCACTATTCACGCCACTGAAATTTCGAGACATTACTGTACCCTCACATGGCCCACAGAAATCGCAAGCTGCCATCGAATAGGCACACATTTGGACGGCCATAGTGCTTCATTCCATGCCTGGAACCCAACTGGTTGTACATCACCATCAGGCGTTCCGGCCGCAAGCAGCTAGAGCCACCCACCCAACAGACAGACCGATCTCACACTGTCGTTCTGAACTCGACAAGCGAAGAATAGCATACACGTCCGAGATGCCATATGTGCCTAGTTCGAGTTCATGGAGGCCGAGATCGAGGACCAACGCGCCTCCATCGCTACGCGGAATTGTGACAAGGGGGAGCTCCAGCTGACTGCACCGATTCCGTGGCTGGTCTGGGCGACGTCTGATGGTCGGCAGGAGAAGACTCTGCAATAGGGAGAACTTCCAACAGATATGGCAGGATAATGTTGAGATCCGTTTCAAGACGCGGTGGTCGAGACATCAGATTACCTTGGTCTAGCTGCTGACCATGATTTTGTGGGCTCTGGAAGATTGGGGATCACGTTTCCTAGACAGATCAGGGGAAGAACGCGATAGAGTTGAATCGGCGACCTGTCGCAAACGCGCTGATTCTGGTGTGGCTTTTGGCTCGAGACAGTGAGTAGGTGCAAGTCGACCCGCGTGCAGAGCAGATATGAAGAGGTCGAGCGCGCTTCGATATATGTTGAACAAGACTTCAGGCAACAGATGTGTCACGTTGGCATCCTGGGGTGATGGAATATATGCAAGGTGTAACACCGCTGCGTCGTCACATTGATGACAACTTCTACCTAGCTCTTAGTCCATGATACTCTATCTTCATCGTCAGACTGTACCGTGCCCCTATCAACAGGATACGCAAGTTACCATCCCAAAGTCTCGGTGCGCAGTGCAATCTCCTTGACCCTGCCGCTGAGGACCTTCTTCTGTGCACGACTTCTCTCGTTAGACAGGTCTGTCCTAAGGCTTTCCGGCCCGCATGCTGGGAAAGTTGTTAGCTTGAACCAAATGGCAGGGTTGTGCTGGCTTCATATCGATTGCTAGGGTCTTCGATCGCGGCTGAAGCTTCTCGGAGACAGCCGTGAAGCGGATTCGGTCTTGTTCGACCCTGGCTCCCTTGACGTCTACTTCGGATACAGAAGGATCGGTAGGGGTAGGGGGTTTTTCGCCGATGGCTGTTGGCGGCTCGATCTTCTCTCCAGTCACGTTGACGGTAAATTGAGCGTCTGGATCCAGCTTGGAGAGGCTGAGATCCTCCAACGCATCTGCTATCCAGGATATTGCTTCTGTGTGACGTATTGACCAGTAGACGCGGACAGACGATACTCGAAGCGGGCTCCCTTTCCTTTTGCTGAGCACAAATTCTTGGATCCACCGGCAGAATGGCACTGATACCGCCCCCGCCAGCGATCAGGATCAGAGTGTCGTAGGTGGTCAGAACGTCGCCATGGTAGGTCCCATAGGGACCGTCGAGGCAAGCCTCTAGGTCGGCTTCGGCGTTCTTGGTAAGGTGGTGGTGGATGCGCCGTGTGAAGCCAGTGTACGACCGAATGAAGAATCGTAGCCTCCTCTCACCTTCAGGAATGGATGGGTCACATACGTTGGCGATAGTGAACGGATGGTTGTCCCAGGGTGACAGTTTCGGAATGCGAATATAAACGTGCTGGCAGGCGTGCCATTCGAAACCCTCGGGAGGGTCAATTTCCAGCTGAGTCATCCTGTGAGGTAGCAGCTTAGTCGTGACGTGAGACGTGGTGAACATTGTATGACCGAGATTTGTCGACCGATTGTACCAGAAGATACGGCCGAAGATTGAGAATAGCCAGACGGCGAGGCTTGCCCACATGTATGCCCACGAGGCTCCGAGGTCTTTGCAGTGCCAGAACACGAGACCGATGTAAGACACCGCGAGCCAGAAATGGACGTGATAAAATCCTTCATATATCCGGTTTCGGATCCATGGAGGCGATAGTAGCACCAGGCCGAAGAACATGCCCAAAAGTGGAGTGCCGGTATACTGCGAATTTTGTCAGCTTAAGGAAATTTTCGACAGGCTTGGAACTTAATTCGAGACCTCCTGGCTTGTAAAACTGGCGTCTAAGCTGAGCTGGCCCTCCATCTCTTAACGGCGCCACAATAAAGGGAATGGTGAATAACAGATAGTCCAAGACAGGGCTAACTCATCCAACGGTGGACAATATTCAGCTTCTCATACCCAATGCCTGTCAGCAAAGAGACAATGTTTGCTTTCCCTGAGAGCGCAATGATCCATGGGGTGAGCGCTACTGCCATCAGACCGGTCCTCACGTCTAAGGGTGGATATCCATAGCCACAGTGCTGGCGATAATACGGTCGCACAGCAAACGTCAGGATGCAGCAATAAAGAATGTTCAGGCCGAAGAATATGAGCAAACCCATCGAGGGCAATCCGAATCGATCGCTTAGCCAGTCAGGAGCCCGCTTGTACGCGATCAGCCGCCAAGCAGCAACGGCCTTGCCTTTCAAAGATGGGAAAGATGCGACTTTGCCTCGACTGCGATACTGCTGCGCATTCAAGCGCCTGAGCCAGTAAGCTGCCGAGAAGATTCCGAGGCTGGCAACAAGGAACCACGAGACATATTGGTCATAGTCGAATCGGTGATTGTACGAGACCAGCCTTTGGCTGAGCTGATGGGCGTCGTAGAATGCTTTGCAGGAATCATTGTTGCATTTTGGATCACTTAGCGTCAGGTTTTCCAAAGGGGACCCTCGTAGGGCGCTCCTGAAGAAAGAGAGCCGTGGCTCATGTTGGCTGTGCCCGCCGTTGGACTGGTTTGGTGCAAGGACAAACAATTTCAGCAGTTTTGATAAAGTTTCACAAACCAGCCCTCTCGTAGAATGGCACTGTTTAAAGCGTGAGGGACCCAAGGCGGTCGGCCCAGAAAACGTGCTCACGACTGCCAAACTATGAATTCCAGTTGAGTTCCAGGCGGTTAGGTCCAAGGGTCCCCTATTCTCCACTTGGCCAGGCCCGGCAGCGTGTGGAGAAACGTTACAGAAGATTGGCTTGCCCTCAAAGGAAAAGTCTTTTAGAGGATCGTCCTCAACATCACAGGAATCTTTACCACACAAGACACGGCATCTTCTGATAATCATTGCACATCATTACCCGAATTCGCCTTCAGTCCCTTTGACGATCAATCTGCCGTGTCCTATCTCCCTCATTCTCACTGGAGGGGCTATTGGCTACCAGGTTTTCAATGGCAAAGAGTTGGTTCTGAGTGGGGAACAAAGAAGCGAGCAGCTCGAGATAATGGAAATTCGCTGTGAACACAGGATCCTGAGTGGCATCGCATCTCGTTTCTAATGGCGCAATGAGCCTTGGCAGTTCCATAAGCCCGCTTTTGCCAAAGCGCAGGGCAAAACGCCTCCCGCAACTGCTTCTGATTTCCTCTCCCAACCCTAGACTCTATCCATGTGAGATGGTGACGATCGATAGACCATACCGTTATCCTTGGAAACCAATTTATCGAGCTGCGCACGTGGCCAGAGTGCAAAGTACAGTTCTGGTGCTCTGTTTCTCAGGGAAGTAGTCAACGCCAGGAAAGTTCTGTGGTCAGTTGTGAACAAAGACAGCGAAGCAGATTCCAGGGGTTGGAAAAGTTCTGCACATCGCATCATTGACGCAGCCAAGACTTTGAGCTCCTAGGCTCACCAAACAGGCAGGCTCTGCCTCCTCAAACTGATCTTCCTCCTCTCGGTCGGGCCGTGATGCTTGTGGCCGTAGCTATTCGTCCTGCGCATCTGTTCCTCTTCTTCAGCATCGTCGTCGTATCCCGCCTCGCGCATGGAAGGGCTGCGCGCCCTGATCGCTGGGCCTTTGAACAACAGCACCACAGGTGCAACGCTCAGTGCCAGACCAATGAAGCCGAGCAGCGATCCAGCCCAGCCGAAGCCAAGATCGTTGAACAGAGGCTGTGAGGCCAAGGGCAGAAAAGCACCGAACGAGTTGCGGCCCAGCGATGCAGCCAAGAGAGCAGACGCGGCGAACTTCTCGTAAGCATCAGTAAGATAATTGACAACACCGAGGTAGATACTGTATATCCCAATACCGACAGCGGTGATGGCGATGGTGGGCACGATCCAGTGAACCGATTGACGACAAGTCCATCCGTACCAGAACAAGCCGGCGGTGAAGAGGAGGGAACCTGGGATGGCGAAGTACAGCCGTGCTTCAGCGATGGGCTTCCCGGGGCGCTCAGAGTTACGCCGAGCTGACTGAAGGAAGAGACGGTCTTGGATGGGGTTGATCACTGTGGCAATGAGAGCGCCCACCCTGATGGCGAGCTGAACCAACCGGGTGGAGAGGATGTTGAAGCCATAGGCCGATTCGAAGGTTTGAACAACCGAGGAGAAAAACAGGAGCAGAATCCCCCAAGCGAAGGATACCCAGACTGTGAAGACGCTGACGACTGGCTCGGTCAAGAGCATCTTCACGGGCCGCCAGAAGGAGATCTTAATGAGATTGATGGTCGAAGGTTTGTCCAGCTCGCTGACAGCGTAGATCTCTTTTCCACTCTGCTGTCGCAAGTGCTTCGCTCTGCGAGCCAAGATGACGTCGCCTCTGGTCTCTCGCAGGATGAGCCAAAGATCGGGATGAGGGCAACGTTGAATATGATCTGGATGTAGAAGATCCAGCGCCAGGGGTCGGTGCGGTTCATCTGGACAATCATAGAACCCATGAACGGTCCTAGAGCAATCCCTGCCACCGAGGTGAAGCCGAAGATCGACATTGGGATGGAACGGGCTCTGTCGCCTCGCCAAATGTCGGCGATGCTGCCGCCCACTATATTTATGACGACAGAAGACGCACCGCCGCCAAAGAACCGTGTTATGAGTATTGTTGCGAAGTTCTGTGCAAAGGCCGAGCCGAAGAGGCTGGCAACGAAGATGATATATGCTCCGACGTATCCTGGCATCCCTCCACTGCTCTCAGTCATGGGCACGAAGACCAAAGGCCAGAAAGCGGCGCCCATATTCCAGCTGGTAGTGGCCCAGACGGTGTTGTCGATGGGCATGTTCTGCACGTTGAAGCGTTCGGCGATGTAGGAGGCACCAGCACCGTAGGAGCCCGCTGGCAGGCCGGTCAAGATGGAGATGAAGCAGACGGTGAGCGTAACTACCCATTTGTAAAAAGTGGTCCAGTTGAACGGATTGTCCCGGTCATCTGGCCCGGTCCATGTGTGAATTGTCTTGCCGTCATTGCGATCATCTGGCTCGTTGCGATGAGTCTGAAGATCAGCACCACCGACCTGTGTGGCTTCAGAGCTAGTCCCGCCCGAGCTGATATGTTCTCGCTCTGAACCTCCCGTATAGGTTCACTCCGCGATCCAGCCAGCTCCACGCCTGCATTATCTCGATTCAACGCCTCGGCCATGTCGAATGTGGGAGTCGCTTGACTTGTTCAGAGAGATTACAATGAATGGGGATGGGTGCGTGGGAAACACCTGTTCCTGCAGGTTAGCGGTTGACGCTGGGAAGGAGGAATCTCATTGTATTTTCAGCCACAGCAAATTTTGTTATCTGACCGCATGTCCTGTCGGTCAGTTCAATGAACTGTGCGTCATGTTGAGCTTGCAGCAAATCTTTGCGGGCCGCGACGGGAAACTGACTTAAGTATGACGTGTGCCAAACGACCTCGGCGCAAACCTACTGCCAATCCATAACCGCAGTAGCCTCAGAACCCGCGCTTTCCGACAGGAAGAGAACGCCAGTCTGCCCTACTGGCTATTGCTTTGCGAGGGTGATGCTCGTGCCCGGTAAGAGCGGCTACATCGACCCAGGAAACCGCCGTCACAACTCTCTAACGACCCAGACGAGCAGCACTTGATGCCTGCGCAAGTGACTCCGAACAGGGGCGTGGAAGAGAGACGAGGAGAGCAGTGAACTTCGCAAGCAAGTGCACAAGGCGGAAAGCCAGAACAGAGCCCTCCTCATGGACAAGACAAAGAAGGAGCAGGAGCTTAAGGCTCGGGAGAACGAGCGCTGCTGGAAGAAGGAGGACGTCGCCAAGTGGGACGAACAGATCTCTACTATGGCTGAGGAGATTTCTGGGATCGAGACACAAGAAGCTGCCATCAGACGTAGGAATGAGGCTAACATCAGAGAGGTGGAGCGGAAGGGCGAAAAGGAGCGCAAGGAAGTGGCTACGGTCGAGGAGGAAGCCAAGGAGAAGAGCCAGGCCATGCTTTACTGGAAGAGGAGCGCAAAGAACTCCATGTCGATGATGATACGGACGAAACTCGCGAAACCAGCCGAAGAGAACAGGAGCGTGAGGCCAAATGGCGCGGCCGGTTCCAGGAACTCCTTAGCACCCACAACAGGCTCCACAATGCCTTGCAGCAGGCTACAATGTATCTCAACAGCACCAGGGATCGTCTGCAGTACTATGAATCGATCCGCCAGAACCGAGCCGTTTCGTCTGCGCCTCCTCCACCGCTCAACCTTGAGCCCCAGCGACAACGGTCCATCCGTCGTCCAAGACATACCGGCTCCCACGGTAGTAGCGTCTGTTCGCCTCGTTGGCCGGTTGTGGCTGAACCCTTCCAACCAGAAACCACGACGTTTGGTCCGAGCTATTTTAACCCTCAGAACGGTATGACGCCGATCTTACCCAACGAGGCCGCCACTAAACCCGGCGAAGACGGAGAGGCTATGAATGCTGTCTGTCCTGCATTTGCACGGGGTGTCAAACAGCGGGATGGAATGACGACAGGATCTACAAAAACAGCGAGCGGGGCAATGCTGAAGCATTTCTTGGCTCGAGCTACAAATCTGGGGAGCGTTCGATCCCCATCCCTTTCCAACATCTCTCGATGATTTCGCTCTTTCTACAGAGATTGCGTGTCCCTCTTTCAGTGTGGGAACCAGCATAATCACCGTTTGTGTTTGGTCCAGTCATGGCAAATAAATACCTCTCGAAAATCTTGGACATCACCAAGATTCATCAAATTTTTCCGCCCAAGGGAAACACGCTGATGGCGGCGGAAGCCAATATCAAGTCGCTGGCGGCATCCTTCGTAGGCAGGTCGCTTCACAGGTATGACAACTTTTGAAATCAGTGACTGAACGCCTCTGACTTTGCGCGTTAACGAGCCAACCGTCAAATTTGAAAATATATGGCGACGACAAACGGCGCACAGAGCGCCATTGGAACGAACATCTCGCGTCTGAAAGCGAGGCTGACGTAAGGGTTCCGTCTGACAGCCTCAAATCGCGAAAGAATAAATTCTGATATTCTTCAGATCAAGGCAGACCGGGGCGAAACGATCGTGGAGAGCGACATCATCAAAAATGTGGAGAGGGAAAAGGACAAAGAGCACGTTCGTATCACGGAGCGTCTGGAAGGCGCGAAAAGCGCAAGCAGTCACGTGAGGCCGGATTGAATGTATCCATGAACATGGGCAGCCGGCGATGAGACAACTCATTTTGAGAATTGAGAAGGTGAAAGTTTGAGTGGGTGACGATTCTAAAAGGCCCCATTCTTACGCAACGACTCCGTATCGGTTGACAACCGTTAATTTCAGACTTTTGCCGTTGGCGTCGCTGCTATAAATTCTGGCACAGCCGGGCGACATCCGTCTTAAGAGGTTCAAACCAATTGGTCAGATAAAAGACAGTGATATTTGCGCAGAAAGGGCAAGTGTAACATTGAGCCCGACAACCCGAGTGGAAATCGTCATTCTGGGCTGCAGCGCAGCCTAGAAACGCCAGACCACACTCCTGAATCTTCCGGCGGCTCTGGTAAGATCTCTATAGACCCCTTGCTCATGGCTTTTGAGTTGACCGGATTTTGAGGGTCTGCTGGTGACTGAGGGAGGAAGCCAGCGAATGCAGGTACAGTATGGATTGATGATAATTGTGCTGCTTGGCATTCTTTTTCAAAAGAGTGACGTCCCACTATCCAACGTAGAGGCAGGCAGATACTGATCCACTCTGGGCAAACGAGCGCCACATCATTGGTCAGCCACCAAGTCATGCAGACTCCCCACAAACGGTTTTGCAAATCCGCCTGGCTGTAAGCCCGGATTGCCTCTCCATCCGCAACTTCACTATCTCACATCGTAAACGCTGGTTCTCGCTGTCCTTAAGTTGATACTGCTGCTCAAGGTCGCTCAGCCTCGCTTCGAGATCTTTTATGTGCCGCTCTTTTCGCTCTCGATAGTTTCGTTGTCTGAAAGGGTTAGTAAGATCCCTCACCTTGGATAAGTGCCCTTCATGGCCTCGACATACGCTCTTCGGTTCTGTGCTCTCCTACGACTCTCAAGGGGGGTAAGGATGTTATCTTCCTTTCCGCTCTTTCGTTGCACCGCCGGGTATTGTTTGTACGTTATCGTTTCTCGCGACCGTGAGAGCGTAGGGCTGTATTCTTGCTTTGATACTGCAGAATCCTCTGGCGATGAGTTTGCTGGGAAATAAGGCATAAAGCGTTGCGACGGCGGGAAGAAGGCCGTGGGGGAACTCTGTTGAAATGCTCCGGCGGGGCTTTCATTCTGATCGTGGTCGATATCGAAATCTTCCCTCAAGAAGTTAGGTGCTGCGACGCCGACGGCTGACAGATGACGATTAGGCTCATCGGCTTGCACGGTTCTGTTTCCTTCGAGAGATGGTGGTAAAACAGATAATTGGGAGGGCCAAGAGTCTGAGGTAAAGTACGAATAGTCCATGTGTTGTGTTCTATTCTGTTTTATGCCGTATGGGCGCCAACTCGGGGGCAAACTCAGCATTTATCTTCAGGGTCACAGATACGGGACGATGATGTCACGGTAGCGCCCACATTAATCGCTATTGCCTCGAAGCCACCGAAGAGTCAAGGATGCAAGAGATTAGGAGGGAATTGGAGGTTGCAGCGTGACAGATCCTGGAGCGGCAGGGAAGAGGCAGGCGGCAATTGCAGTGTCTTGCAAAAAGAACAGGTTCATGAAGGCGGTTAGAGGGGCAATAAACGCCAGCCCGTTTTAGTTGAGGTTAGATAGATCAGGACGCATCATCTTCAGGAGGACTCACCGCTTTGGGCAGCACACATCAATGTTGACATGGTGCAGCTTGCGGATAATTTGTCGAGACGCCTCAACGATGGTGTGCATACTTTTTGCCAAGTGCTTCTTGAACTCTGGTAGGTCTCCAGGCTCCAGCTGTATAGCGAGCGCGTTCCAGGAATGACAGAGAATTGAATGAATTGCCATAAGACTCTGCAGGGATCTGAAATGTATGTCAAGGACATGAGCCGGGTCCATGACTTCCTGCATGTGAGGGTGTTCAATCTCTGTTCTTAGCGTCAGCGGGAGAGATGCATGCCATTCATGGACGGTGTGCTCCAGCTCGTCAATGGTTCGAAGGACCTCACTCAGCAATGGATGGGACTCTTTCAATGAAGCGATTCGCTCCATAATGTTGGCAGAGACTTGGGCGTGCTTGATCCAGCACTATGGAACCTCCAGGACGTTGCTAGGATCAGGAGGCGTTGCCCAGTCAATAGATCGCAGGATAATTCCATGGCAGAGACTTTGAGTAAGTACAGAAGCGACCACTGGGCACTAGCCTGCAAGGCTGCCTCCGACCAATAACAGGTGCGTCTCCAGCGCACGAGATGCCTGGGTGATCTACCACGCCCAGCCGTGCCATAAAGATTCAGCCTCTTCAAGCATGTACCATACTTGGCTTGATATCGTTCCTCTTGAAACTCGACAGCGGAGGGGTCCCAGGAGTCGGTTTGCCGGAGAACTTCGTCTGCACGAACGTCTTCATGATACCCATCTCCTTCCGATCGAATGCCCCATACAGCTCCGCGAACTCCTCCAGCGCAAATCGATGACTCAAGATGATGGTAGGATCGAAGGAGCCGTCCTCGATCTTTTTCAAAAGTTCATGCCAGTACATTTGCACCGGCGCCTGGCCCGTGCCTCGCAAGGTGATGCCCTTCTCCATCAACGCGCCGATGAGGAATCCGTTGGTAGGTCCTGCGTAATCTGCGACGAGCGCAATGTGGCCAAACTTGCGGACAGCCTGCAACATCTCGTTCACAATCTCAGAGGAATCCGTCTCCAGACCGACGGCTCGCTCGAAAGTGTTCAAGACTCCCTTTGTGTATCGGAAAGCGGCAGCGTCAATGCAGCAATTGATTCCCTCGGGTTCCTTCTCGTACAAGACCTTTACAACGTCTTTGGTTTGACTGAAGTCGATCACCTCGCAGCCGATGTTGTCCCTGGCCATTGCGAGTCTTTCTGGAACATTGTCGATGGCGATGACACGTTTCGCTCCCGCGAGCTTAGACCATTTAGCGGCGAACAGCCCGACCGGACCCATGCCCCATATCGCAACACTTTTGCCTTCTTTAACCTCTGCACAGACGGTGCTGTGATATGATGTGGGGACGATGTCGGACAGGTACAGGACCTTTTCATCCGGAACCGAGTCTGGGAGCTTCAACAGATTGACATCGCCAAAGGGAGCCCGCACGTATTCCGCCTGGCCGCCGGCAAAGCCACCCGCGAAGCGCGTGTAGCCGAACAGACCCCCGAAGCCCTTGCCGTACAGTTTGTCCTGGACGGAGGAGATGTTGGTGTTATCGCACATGGAGGACAGACCCTCTTTGCAGAAAGAGCACTGTCCACACCTATCCACGGACCATGTTAGCAACTTCGACGCCGGTGGAGGACGTGTGATGTTTACGCAATCTGGAAGCTGGCAACGACGCGGTCGCCTTTCTTCAAATTCTTGACCTCGGGCCCAACTTCATCAACCAAGCCCATCCACTCGTGTCCCAGTATGTCGCCTTTTTGCAACTGCATGATCTCTTTGTGGTAGAGATGGAGGTCGGAGCCACAGACCGTGGTTCCTGTCACCCGGCAAATGACATCGCCGGGATCCGTGATGGCCGGAACCGGTACCTCGTCGACCCGGACGTCTTTCTTGCCGTGCCAGACCAATGCCTTCATGGTCTGGCCGGGACGCTTCTTCTCGGTGTCGACATTGTGCACGAGAACCTTGCGGTCACCCAGGTATTCCTGTGCCTTGTTCGCGACGACGGTATTCATGTTTGTTGGAAATGTATCTGCCCACGACTTAGAGCATGGAGTGATAGTTCAGTAGTAAAGTCTTGAAGAGAGCAGGCATTATCATAATTCATCTTTTCCCTAGCACAGTCGATCGGAGCATGAATCCGTTATGACGATTGCAGTGATATCATGCTCACATGCTCACGTACTCGGATTATGTGTTGATTTGTGTGACTGCGGGGCTCAAAAGCATCTATACGGACCGGTGGAGCCCCAAATCTCGATGCAGTCAGCGACTAGCTTAGCTTAGCCTAGCTTGGCTTTGCACGCGCCTATAGTACTACTCAGTACTAGTAGTAGGTAGTAGTCTGTTCCATCCAATGCACACAGTAGCCATACTACAGCGCGCACCCTTACAGCAAATACAGATGTTCCAACCGCCAGGTCCGTATCAGTGCAGCCGGACTGTCTCTTCTGCTCAACCTACCGCTATTTTTTGCGAGGAGAGTGGCTGCATACGGTACAGCATCCTGACCTAGACCTTCTCCGAGAACACCAAGCTGATCTTCACCGTCTCGGAACATCGTGTCGGGCCAACAACTTCAGAGCCCAAACCTTCCTCTCCCGACGCCCGTTCTGGCTGGCGACCCCTGTTCCGCCCGCTCGTGTGGTATTTCCGTGGCGTCAGAATTACGCTTCGGTGGGATAGGCGGGAAAACGAAACTCGGAAATTCATTCGCGGAACCCCCCACGTACGTCACTATGACACCACCGGCACTCGAGATCCTCCCTTGTCATTTCTGCACCGACACGAAAGCGGCACCGAAGCAAGTTTATGCTTCGCAGCCGTGGTAAGCCAGGTCTGACATCCATGTTAAACTCTACTGATGCTTGCTCAGCACCCATGGGCACCTCACCGTCGACGAAAAGGTGACCTCACATTTTCATCAGCACGACGCACCACACTCGGCCTCCTTTCGTAGTAAGGTTTGCGATCGTCCTTTTCAAGCGTCAGGCGTGCACTGAGTCACTGCAGTCATGAGACCAGAATGGGATGCACACGGTGATAGTATGTCGTCTCTCCCTGTCCCCAGCTGCTAGATCTTCGAGTTTGCGCATACCACAACTTTTTTGGCCTGAGCCTTGACGACTTGCGAACTACTATATAACTGCACTCGGGAATTCTCCTATACAGACCATCTGGTTGTCGCCCTTGCGCAATTCCTTACAATCCTTTCCAAAAGAACCTCCTTATTCTCTGGAACAATGAGTCCTCCACAGTCCCACACAAGTTTCTCAATAACCCGTCGCATCACCGGTCTTGATAGGATGTCGAACACAGCAAGTCGCTCTCTCTCATTCTCTCTTTCTGTGTGGTAGTGCTCAATGCTAACAAACGCCACCGACCCGCGACAACATCGTCGGAGTGTGCGGTGAATTTGTCGGCACGGTCTTGTTCCTGCTGTTCGCCTTCGCGGGAACTCAGACGGCCTACCTCAACAGCCCACCCGTCGAGAACAGAGTCGGCGCTCCCGCAAATGCATCGACCTTGTCGTACGTAGCGCTGAGCTTCGGGTTCTCGCTTGCGGTCATGGCAGGCGTGTTTTTCCGGATCAGTGGAGGGCTCTTCAATCCAGCTGTAAGTACTACTACTACTAATACCACCGAGACGGCGAAGACGTCTTCTTGCAGGCGGAACTGACGGGCGAGATACCAAGGTCACCCTCGCGCTCGTGCTCATCCGGACGATCCCACCCTTCCGCGGTGCACTTTTCGTCGTCGCACAGCTCCTGGGCGGCATCGTCGCCGCCGCCATCGCCAGCGCCCTCCTCCCGGGGCCCCTGACGGTGCGCACCTCCCTCGGCGGCGGCACCTCGATCGCGCAGGGCGTCTTCATCGAGATGTTCCTGACCATCTTCCTCGTCCTCACCGTGTTTTTCTTGGCCATCGAGAAGCAGCGGGCCACCTTCATCGCGCCCGTCGGGTTCGGCCTGGCGCTGTTCGTCGCCATGCTGGCGGGCACGTACTTCACGGGCGCCGGCCTGAACCCGGCGAGGAGTTTTGGGCCGTGCGTCGTGTTGGCCAGCTTCCACGGCTATCACTGGATCTACTGGGTCGGGCCGGGCCTGGGGTCGATCGTCTCCGCGGGGTTTTATGGGTTGATGAAGCTGCTGAGGTACGAGACGGCGAATGCGGGTCAGCACGGCCCCGAGATTGAGATGGAAAACGGGACGCCCCAAGTCCATGGAGCGGAAATGGGTCTCCTAACAAGATCGGGACCGGAGAGTGGCCTGGCAAGATCATCAGTAATGGGCTCATAGAACATGCTGGTCTCGGCCGTTGCACTGGACTTGTTTAGCATTGACGCGTCAGATCGGGCGGCCAACTGCGAGACCAAACCTGCGCTTTCTGTTCAGTCTGGATGCGCTAGTAACAGCATGACACTGAATATTGCTGTGCGGCATGCGGGCGGGGCTAGCTGGAATGCAGCTGCTGGAGCTGCTGCTCGAAGATGTGACGGGATGCATGTAGGGCAGTAGCATCGGATCGGTGGTAACCTTCGTCAGTGCCTCTGAACAGTCACGTTCTCCAAAGTCGCGGACCCCAATGATGTTGTTGAGATCGCTTGGTGAGACACATCTAACTTGCCCAGGCTTACGTTACTAGCCTATGACGGCCACGATCTTTAGGTTGAACTAGTACCGTACGTTGATGACAGGGGTTAAAAGTACAAACTTTTGTCTTGAATACCTTGCTAAGCTAAGGTACCTTATCCGGTTGGGTGCGTCCGACCAAACTCAGTCACCAAACAAACCTTGAGACCGCCAGGAATCTCGTGGGTGTTGAACTTGGCGTAGTCGTCCGAAATGTTCTCAAAGTCATCTTCATGCGTGAACATGAAGGACGGGTCATATTCGTTCTTGACGGTGATGTCAAGCAGATACGGGAAGTACTGGAAAAATCAGTTAGCAGATCGGAGCTGCACGTGGGGAACAGGAATTCGGCACCTTTTGGGCATATAGTTGTCCCCCCGAAGGGTGATGGCCTTTTCCATCAGGGCCCCGATCGGGAACTGGTTCGTGGTGAAGAAGAAGTCGCCGATCAAGGCGATGTTGCCGCCTTTGCGGGTGGCTTTGATGATGGCGCTGACCGTGTCTCCGCTGTCGCCTTCGGCGAAGCTGCGGAAGCCGCTGGCTTCGATGCCCCGGTCGAGTCCATGGGGCTCGACGCCGAGGATGTAGTCAGCCACGTCTTTGTGGGCGGACACGTCCACCGGAATGGAGCCGTATTTCTCGGCCAGCGCGAGTCTGTGCCTGTCTTTGTCGATCGCGTAGACCTTCTTCGCACCACGGAAGAGTGCGAGGCGCTGGATGGAGAGTCCAACGGCACCGCAGCCCCAGACCCCGACGACGTCTCCTTTGCGCACCTCTGCGAGTTAATTGCCGTGCCAGGCCGTGGGAGTCACATCACACAGTCCGAGAAGCTTCTTCGCAGAAACATCTTTGGGGGCCTTCACGCAGACAAGATCCGCGTTGGGGACTCGACACCATTCGGCCTGGTTGCCCGGATATCCTCCGGTGAGCATGGAGTACCCGAATATGCCCGAAAGGCGATGACCGTATGAGCTCGACGGTGAGTCCACCTGTGTTGGCCACCTGGCTGCATCTCTGAGGCCGTCACGCGCATATCTCATAAAGTAGTTGTGGGATGCCTGGTTGAATCATATGTAAGGCTGTAGGCAAATTTTATGCCGCACCGCGTGGCTGGTGAGATCCTAGAGGATCTGCAACCTAGTTGCATACGAAACTTTGTCATGCTGTGAGGCGCCGTTAGCTAGAATTAGCACCCGTTGCAAAGTCCACGTGTTTGTGCAATGGCTAGCCGCGTGCTCTGCGTGGGACGAGCAGGATGAGGCGCGACTAATTTGCATCAGGCTTGGCCTGGCCTTGCGGCTCCGTAAATTGAAGCTTACCCACGAGATAATACTTCTTCCGAACCGACACATCACGTGACGAAGTGACTGCGGCGCGGTGCTGTAAACACAAGACCTGGATCATGATGGATCAGAGGCATCTTTGCAATCAACATATGTCTCTCCGCCTCAAACGCGCCACCGTCTCTGATGCCCACCGACACCGGTAGATGAAAACGGTATCGAGAAAAGTTCTGGTCTGACGAAGGTGTCTGCATGCCTGATGAAGGATGCAGGTGCCTGTCAGGTAGTTGCTTTCAGCCTCACGAGGCGTTCTCGATGCGCCACACCCACGTTAGACGCCCGTCGCTGATAGCCCACGAGCTTCGAGAGATTTGCTGTGTCGACGGGTGCAATTCTCTCACAGTCGACTTGACGCGAAGCACCCAGAAACGCGACTGTGCTCACCTTAACCCACGTCCTTGTATATCACTGCACGAACTACGAGACAATCCTACGTCGCCGACCATATAAGAAATAATGGAGCCTCTTGGTGGCGCAACAACTGTGATAGCTGTGATTCAAGTTGCTGCTCAGGTGGTGAAGCTGTGTGGTGGCTATATCGGTGAAGTCAAAGCCGCTGCCGATGAGATTGAGCGTTTCAAATCCAAGGCCTCAATACTACACGATGTGCTCATCAAGCTCAAGGAGTGCCCTGCGACAGCGAATCACCAAGCGGTAATCAAGGACTGTCTTACAGAACTCGAAAGCATTAAGCAATCGCTGCAGCCCTCGACAGCCCACAAGCGGATGAAGAGATTTGGCATTCGCGCGCTGAAGTGGCCATTCTCGAAGAAAGAAGCAGACGAGAAGATTGCTAGGCTGGATGGATATCGAAATGTCTTTGGCACGATTCTGCAACTGGATTCCAATATCAGAATCATCGACAGCGAAGAAGAGCACTGTCTGGATACGAAGCTGGCCTACGTGGCTGATGCATCGCTCAGTGAGCAGCGACATCGTCATCACCCTTGTCTTGAAAACACGCGGGTCCAAGTACTGCAAGAAGTCGAGCAATGGGCCAGGACTTCAACATCACAGAGCATCTTCTGGTTGAGAGGAATGGCCGGTCTGGGCAAATCGACTGTGGCCATCAGCTTGGCGGAACGGCTGAAGCAGGTGTCCCCAACTGTTGCTACCTTTTTCTTTCGACGAGGCTTCGGTGACCTTGGCAATGCACGCAAGCTGCTGACGACACTCGTGCGACAACTCGCGTATGTGTCGGCGCCATATCGCTGTCTCGTGGTCGCTGCCATAAAAGCCGAACCTGATCTGGGACGGTCACTCGATCTGCGCGGCCAATATGAGAAACTCATCGTCAGTCCGCTTGACGCGCTTCAGTCTGCCACAAATCAGGTCTCTTCATTCTTCCTTGTCATTGACGCTCTCGATGAATGTGGACAAGAGCAACAATCCTACCGCCTGAGCGATCTCGAGCTTCTTCTACACCTGTTCGCTACCACCAAAAGCATGTCTTCGCTCCCTCTCCGCATTGTGGTCACCAGTCGACCAGAGTATGCTATCGAAAGAGGATTTGAGTCCATGCCTAGTATATTATACCACGACCTGGACCTCTACCGTCGACCGCGACAAGAAGTTGACGCGGATCTCACCACTTTCTTCAGACACGAACTGGAACAGGTTAGATGTGATCGTAATATATCTCTGCCATGGCCATCCGAGCCCGAAGTCACCACACTAGTCAGCAAGGCTGCAGGATTATTCATCTTCGCCGACACAGCGTGTCGGTATATTGCAGGTCCAAGTCAGGCGGATTCGCGCGCCCGTCTCGAGAAAGTATGCAGTTTCTCGTTTAACACTGATCTTGGCACGCAGCCCCTGGACCGAATGTACACTACAGTGCTCGAAAATGCCTTTCTCGGTGAGTACACATCTGAGGAGCAGAAGCGGAATTCTCTCCGATACAGGCGTGTTGTGGGCAGCATTGTCCTATTATTCGCACCGTTACCAATTGCTGAGTTGCACCGACTTCTGCAATGTCCGGAACTTGGCAGCCCGGATGAGATCAGGCAAACCCTGCGGGATCTACACGCTGTGATTGATGTGCCAAGAAACGCCTCGTCCTCCATCGAGCCTCTGCATTCGTCGTTCCGAGACTTCCTTCTCGATGAACGACGATGTATCAATGAGCGATTCCGCATTCAGGAGAAGCAAACCCATCAACAGCTGGCTTCAGACTGTCTACGCTTACTGTCGTCTTCTCTGCTGAGAGACATCTGCCAGTTGGCCTCACCAGCAACCATGGTGATCGAGATTGAGCAGACTCGTATCGATCGCGCACTTCCTGCAGCGGTGCAATACAGCTGTCGGTACTGGGAAACTCATGTACGTGAATGCGGGAAGAAGTCTATACTGCTCGCAGACGATGGCATTGTCCATATGTTCCTGCAGAGCCATTTCCTTCATTGGCTCGAAGCGATGAGTTTGCAGCAGAGGGTCTCTGAAGCTGTTCTTGCGATGACGGATCTGGCCAGTATTGTGGATGTGAGTTCCCCAAAGCGCACCAGTAAGATACTAATTCGCGATAATAGGCCGCACAAGCACCAAATCTGTTCAAGCTTGCTCACGACTTTTACCGCTTTCTCCTCGCATTTCGTCACGTGGTCACCACTATACCAAAACAGATATACGACAGTGCCCTTCTCTTCTCGCCTTCGCAAAGTATTGTACGACGTATTTTCGAGAAGGATCTCCCAGACTCAATCACATTGAAGCCGCCGACAGCAGCAAAATGGAGCAGCTGTCTGCAGACACTTGAGGGTCATTCTGAGCCAATCATGACCATGGTGTTCTCACCCAACAGCAGACTGGTAGCGTCTGGATCAGATGATAAGACAGTCTGGCTGTGGGATGTGGTGAAGGGTGAGAGTGTTGCCGAGCTCCAGGGTCATTCTGATACAGTCACAACTGTGGTGTTCTCACCTGATGGCACGCTGGTGGCGTCTGGATTAGATGATAATACAGTCCAACTGTAGGATGTAGCAAAGGGTGAGAGTGTTGCTGAGCTTCAGGGTCATTCTCGTCCAGTTATAACTGTAGTGTTCTTGCCTGATAGTATGCTAGTAGCATCTAGATTATTAGATAAGACAGTTTGACTGTAAGATGTGGTAAAGGGTAAGAGTGTTATTGAGCTTCAGGGTCATTATAATAAAGTCATAACTATAGTGTTCTCACCTAATGGTACACTAGTAGTATCTATATCATAGGACAAGACAGTCTAGCTGTAGGATGTAGTAAAAGGTGAGAGTATTGCTGAGCTCCAGGGTCATTCTTGTCTCATTATAACTGTGGTATTCTCACCTGATGGTATGCTGGTAGTATCTGAATTATGGGATAAGACAGTTTGACTGTGGGATGTGGTAAAGGGTGAGAGTGTTGCTAAGCTCTAGGGTCATTCTGGCAAAGTCATAACTGTGGTGTTCTCACCTAATGGTACACTGGTAGCATCTAGATTAGATAATAATACAGTCTGACTATAGGATGTGGCGAAGGGTGAGAGTGTTGCTGAGCTCCAGGGTCATTCTGGTACAGTCATGCCTGTAGTATTCTCATCTGATGGCACACTGGTAGCGTCTGGATTATAGGACAAGACAGTCTGGCTGTAGGATGTGGCAAAGGGTGAGAGTGTTACTAAGCTCTAGGGTCATTCTGATACAGTCATGACTGTAGTGTTCTTACCTGACAATACACTGGTAGCGTCTAGATTAGATGACAATACAGTCTGGCTATAGGATGTGGCAAAGGGTGAGAATGTTGTTAAGCTTTAGAGTCATTCTAACACAGTCATGACTGTAGTGTTCTCACCTGATAGCACACTAGTATTGTCTGGATTATAAGACAAGACAGTCTGGCTGTAAGATGTGGTAAAGGGTGAGAGTATTACTGAGCTCCAGGGTCATTCTGACACAGTTATAACAGTAGTGTTCTCACCTGATGGCACACTAGTAGTATCTAGATTATAAGACAAGACAGTTCAGCTATAGGATGTAGTAAAAGGTGAGAGTGTTATTAAGCTCCAGGGTCATTCTAATAGGGTTATAACTGTGGCATTCTCAGCTGATGATAAACTAGTAGCATCTAGATTAGATCATAAGACAGTCTGGCTGTGGGATGTGGTGAAGGGTGAGAGTGTTGTTAAGCTCTAGGGTTATTCTGACGCAGTTAGGACTGTAGTATTCTCACCTGACAGCACGCTGGTAGCGTCTAGATCAGATGATAATACAGTCCGGCTGTGGGATGTAGTGAAGGGTGAGAGTGTTGCCGAGCTCCAGGGTCATTCTGATACAGTCATAACTGTGGCGTTCTTACCTGACGGCACGCTGGTAGCGTCTGGATCATGGGACGAAACGGTTCAGATATATCACGCGCGTGGTGCCAATTTGTTATTGAGCAGGATCTCGATTCCCTCCGACCTTCAGCATATGTTCATACGCCCGAACGCCGACCTGATGTCAATTGATGGAGGAAAATTCGACACTCGCACCGGGCAGCCAGTCAGCAACCTGCAACGACTTTTGGGAGTCACAACCACGAGTCTGACATGCCATGGCGAGTGGATATGGAGAGGTTTGGAGCGGAAGTTGTGGCTTCCTACCGAGTACAGACCCTACAGCCAAGCAAGTCACCATAACAAATTGGCATTGGGCTTGCCGAGTGGATCAGTCCGTTTGTTGTTCCATACTTAAGATGAGCATGTGTGGTTAATGTTTTGATATGATATTACTGTACTGCATGAGGAGGCAGAAGGAGTAAACCGCCAGACGCTGGCGCGGTCGGAGAAGGTGCTCGTTGACGGCCACGTGATCAGGCCGTGTAACGACCTATGACACGTTTGTGATTCTCGTTTGATCAGCTGCTGTGTACTGTACAGTAGAAGAGCTAAGTAACAGAGGTGGGAATACCATTGACCCTGGAGACATAGCAACGGATTTGCGTGGGTAACTTCATCAACCAATGAAGAAGAGCCCCTGCGTTTCAGCTTATGCGGCCGTTCTTGAGGCCACCTTCCCTTCCGACACAACACTAACGCAGACTCGTGGCAGGGCTAACCACACATACCGATTGTTCATAGAAGGATAACCAGGGGGGCCGGTGGTGGGCCAATCGCGGCAGGAGAATGAGGCTTCCTATTCAGGTTTGGTGCCACTGGCTGGTTACCACGACTTTCCCGTGCCCGTGGATCACGTGGACTCGCCTCTTGTATTAGTGGCAACCCTTTTTAGGCATGGGAGCAACCGCAACAGGAAGTCGCGGGCTCCCTGAGGGACAGCCACGGCCTTTGGTGGAAATTGACGCCAAGAGCGTCTGAAACAAGCACACCCCGTGTAGCACCCGTGCGCACCCAGCGGCACACCGCTAGCCCACCCAGGAAGGTGTGCTAGAGCGGCGTCGCCCACCCTCACAAACGGAAATGGAAAAGTGGGTCTGAAGAATCTGTGTCGTAGTTTTTAAGTACTATTGAAAATATAGAGGATGAGGATGAGGTATTATATATAGTGGAGAAACTGATGGGTGTGTTTATTAATGGGGTTTAAGGCTGTACTACTAAGGAGTACTGAGAGTGGCTTTAGTAATATATCTATGTATATAGTAATGATTATTATAGCTTGAATAATGTGTTTAATAACTATCACTTCCTGTTAGTGCTTAGACTCCTGACAATGCTTACCACTAACTATCTCACGTGTTTACTAGCCCCTACACCTATGTAATAGCGGGCTATGTACTATAGTATTACCCCTGAATTATGAAATGAAAGGCTGTTGTAGGTGTGTTTATATTAAGAAGAGATATAGGCTATAGCACCCTAGGTGGCATTTAATATAGACAGCTTCTTGGGATTTACTGATTTGTTAGCCTTTGCATGCAAAGGTTTGTAGTATTAGCTAGCGCTATAGATATGTTAGAATATGAGCAATAATGTGCATATTGATATAACTATATTCTAAGAGAATAGGGCTGGTGGGGTGGGGTAGGAGGAAGGTGATTACCTGACTATACACATGATAGTGGTGATACTGTGTGATGTGCTATATTTTCTACTGGGTTATGTAGAAGGGGCACACAATATTATAGTGTACATCTTATTTCTACATCTTAAATCACGTGGGGACAAGTTTTAGGTATTAATAAAAGAGTAGTTTATGCGCTGGTTTAATAAGATCTTCTATCCTGTGGTCTACATGCACTATGTAGTACACTATAGCCAGTATCTACCCGCGAGTTTTAGGTAGACCTTTACTAACTTAAAGGCGTGATAGGTAGAAGGGTGAATGGTTAAGATAAGCAGCTACTAGGTATAGCAAGTGCTAGGCTACTACCTATAGCTACACTATCTTAGGCTGATCTAGGCTAATATACTGGCCACTAGTCTATATAGCGCTAGACTCCAGAACTTTTGTGAACCATAGCTCTTCTTTGGTGCTAAGGGCATAAAACTGTGCTTCAAGTCAACCCCATGCTATTTAATACTGCTGGATGTAATGAAGGAGTTCTAGATCTATCTTGCTAATATTATTAATATAGAGCATATAGATAAGGATTGTTTCTTTGCTAATGTTGCTAGGGAGATGTGCCTGCTAGTTAGTGTGCTGGCCTAGTAGGCACTTGCATTTAATAAACAACTGTAGACATATCTCTAGAAATAATGCTATTAGGAGTAACACACTAGTTAGATCTATAATAGTTAGCTGCTAAAGAAGGGTGGTTATAGGTAGTACTACTACACCTAGAATATACTGGGTGAAGTGGGCTTATTAACCAGTGTGTCACTAAAGTATTCACTCTTGTATAAGGGTGGTGTTCACTATTTTCAGCTGTATGCATTAGTTAAGGAAGTATAGGATATAGTGAAGAGTATACTGTTTAATAATAATAGCTTGGAGGAGATAGCACTAGACCCTCTAATCTAGTAGGCTGCCTAATATGTCTAGGGTAGTGGTACCTGGGATGCACATATTATTAAGTATAGCTATAAGGCAAGTAAGTGGTGGGCACACCAAGCTATTTAGGACTTATAATGCAAGTTGTTTAGTATCTATAAAGAGTATTACATCTTATGGTGGTTGTTTACACAGCTTTAAGCGCGACTCACTTGTGTGCCTATAGAGGAGCTAGCTCCTATACTTAATAACTATCTGTTATCCACATAGGCTATCTAGACACCTGTCTTTCTGGACTTTATTTAGTGGAGTGTGGATAAATTCACCATAGGGTTTAAGGTGGTGTGAGCACAGGCACAGAGTGAGCTTATAATATAGGAGTAAACAAAGATGATAGTGATGTTTTTATAGTGCTTACATTTTATTCTAGGTGGCTATAGCATTAAGTGAGAGTTAGCACTTTAGTGGAGTTAATAGGAGTGCCTGGTTTAGGGTAATCTCTAGGTCTAGTATAGTCTTGGCTTTAGTAATATGTTGCCACACTATAGGTACTATTAGCTAGAACCACACTTTAACTGGACATAGGTAGCCTTCTTATCCTATGTTATAGACTGTATACTCTTTAGTAACAACATGCTACATAGATAGTATTTATATTATAGTGGGTAGGTGCAGGACTTCTTTTATCTTATATAGTGGCTAGACCTTGTACTTAAGTGGCTACACTAGTACCACACTTACTAGGCTATTAGTGACTACCTAGTGTACTAGATCATATATATCTATCTTTAGTAGTTTTGCATAGATATTATAGTGAGTATGTAATCTAAGATTAAGGTTAAGATATAGCAGGAGGTGTTACTTAGGCAGCAGCTATTTAGCTACAAGTACTTTATTAAGATTATAGCGCGCAATATATACTTATTATCTAGTAACTGTTATAACTTTAAGGTGCTGAGGCACTTGAGACACTACTTGTTCAACTTTAGTAGTAGTGATCACTAGAGACAAGATCACTAGGTAGATTAACTATTTTATAAGCTGTACTAATATGTATTCATAGTACTGGTGGTGGTGTATAGTGCCCGCTCTAATATTAAGCGGCAATTTTAATAGTGGTTTTAGTGAACACTCTTTACCCACCACTAGATCCTACTACATCTAGCAGGAGGTATATTACTATAAACCACTAAGGGGGGTGATTAGATATAGTATTTAATCTTAATCATGGCCACTAATAACTTGGAGTTGCTTAAGCCTAAGGCATAGGAATAGGTGTGGAAGGATTAGCAAGCTAGTTAACTATCTATACTATTAAACTACTTTTAATGGGACAAGCTTGTATAGGAAGAGTGGATTAAGGAAGAAATGGCTAGATAACTGTAGGAGTAGACAAGCTTACTATAATGCAAGAAACTATACCCGGTTTATCTATAAATATATTCTTAGTGCTACACTATAGTCCTACTGTTAAGAGAATAGATTAACTGTATAATGTAGTACAGGTGTGTAGATAAGAGAGGGAGGGGGCATTACTCTATTAACTAACAAGCTGACACAATTTTATTGCCTAATAGGGTAAGGCCCTCCCTGCAGCCCCTAGGCGCTATAGCGGCAACTTAAAACACTAGTGGGAAAATCACGTGACCTTCTCCTGCTGGTAAAATAGATTAGTAGTCGCCTTGCATTATAGCTTAGTAGGCAACTAATATCTGCCAAGCTTTTACTATCTAGACTATAGCTCACTTCTATTGTTATAAACTAAAGTGTGATCCTGACCTCTTGGTTAAAGGTGCTTTATAGGCTATATACCTTTATCTATGTACCTTAAGAAGTGATAATTAATTTAATTGTTATCTATAAGGTGTCTCCTTGTGTTTATAGGCTGAATTCTAGTGACAGAGGCTTAGTGTGACTTGTTAGAGGCAGGAGAGGGTAGAGTAGGTAGAGGAGAGGGGGGGTGTACCCTATTAATTAATAGTAGGTGGATATACTAAGAGAGATCCACTAATCTGTAATTGTGTTCCCACTAAAAAAGTTATAACTTATAACTACTTTTACTTTATTAATAACTTGTGTAATTGCATATCTTTTATTAATATATTAATTGCACTATTATTGCACAGTTTAGGCAACACTTTTAATACTAATATTAATACTGCGTGTGTGTAGCGCGTTAAGTTTCACGAGATCGCGATTTCCACGAGTCCGCGACTTTCTATTAACTGATAAAGTAACCCCCCCCCCCTGCTCCACCCCCCCACTCCTCTGTTAATTAACAGGGTTAGCACCCCACTCCCTACCCCCTCTTGTTGATTTTGTCTAACTTGGATTGTAGCACCACTTTCTATTGATTAATAGAGATACACCCCCTTGCGCACTTATCACTCTACACTATGGCTAAGGAGTAAGGGCCCTCTGAGAAGTGTAAGACGCCCACCACTCTGTTTAGTGAAGCTACTCTAAAGAAGAAGTGAGCCTAGAAAGTGAGTGATATAGAGCACAATAACCTTCTAAGTAGTCTCTCTACCTTTAAGTATCACTTTAATACTAATGACTCTAATGAGGACTTCAAGATTATAGATAATAGTAAGAGGGTCTATTATAGCAAGACTGTATGCCTTGTTTAATCTTGCCCTAATATAGATGACTCCTATCACTCTAATGTTAGCTAAGACAACTTTGCCCCTAAGGGTGACTAGTAGCTAAGCGATAATAAAGCTAACTCTAACTGTGAGAGATGGGAAGAACACCCTAAGTTCTATCTAGTTAGTACTAAGGTATTTATACGCTGTAAGGCTATATAGATTAGATGCAACCTTAACCCTGCTAATATGGGTAAGACTAAGGGTACTAAGGACCTTAATAGATGTAAAGAGGCCTATAACAAGGTTATAGAGTTCAGGGTGTATATTATGTTAAAGAAGATTAAGGATTTCTTAGACTACCCTATGGTGGCCGCCTATATACGCCTAAAGGACCCTAAGGCGCTCTATTAGGCCTTTATTAATAATACCTTGCTTCTTGTCTACTACTACTAGATGAAGCAAGAAGTGTTCTAGGTTACTGACCTATAGAAGTATAGTGTCCTAACTAGGAAGTTCTTTACCACTATCTAATTCTGTGATACAGTCCCTTACTACACTAATATATTGCATATATTAAAGATCCAGTACAACACCCCTGAGCTCGCGAGCTTCCAAGTGAATGTAGACTGTACTGCGCTGATTACAGTAATTATAGTGTACAAGATTATTGTCCAGTGGCGTAATAAGCATATCTTCTACCCCCCACCCAAGTGGGTTAACTAGGAGCCTAAGCCATTATAGTACTTCTGCAATATTATATCCTAAGAATTCTACTTAGGATTTAAAAATTTTATTTCAAGAGGTCTACCCTCTTAAAATAAAATAAAAGAAATTTAAAAAAAAGATAT